GGACACATGCCCAGCAGCCCCTGGCCCATGCCCTTAATGAGCCATCCAGAGGCCACGTAGGTATCATAAGTTCTGCCCCTGCTATAGCTGCAAAGAATGAGATAGAGGTGAGACTGCTGTTGGTGGAAGAAACAGGATGGCCCCAGAATCCCCCCTGCATACCACGGTCCCCAGCGCCCCAGGGCTCCCTCCAACCCTTACCTGTTGTCAAAGGCGGTGCCGTTGTAGCGGTAGTGGACACAGTCGCTGTCCTGGGCCACGCGGGGGCAGTGGGGTGGGTGCAGCTAGGTGCTCACCTGCACGGTGTCCACCTTTTTTCCACACATCCAGCAGGACCATGTCAAAGTAGTGGGTGGCATCAGGGGAATGAGCACTGCTGTGTTTGGTGCAGCCCCTAGAGTTGGGGGGTGGAGTGGAGGTCTGAACATCCTGCTAGGCCATCCGCTCCCCCAGCCCTAGCTCCCCGTCTCCCACCAGAGTCAAGCTAGGATTCCACCTAGGGCCCTGTTATTTCCCTTGCTCCCGCCCCAGGGGCTGAGAGACCAAAACTCAGGTCCCAGACCAGCCGCTATTCATACTTGGAAAGTCACTCTCCTTCTCTGAGCTTCATTTTCCAGCCCTAGGGTCTTTGCTTCTGCCCCTTGGTCTCCTGCATCCCCCTGCCAGGGCCCCAGCCCTTCTTACCCACGCCGATGCTTCTACAAGTAGCCCAAGTGCGGAGGCACAATGAGACGTCGCCGCTCATCGACACACATGCCCATGAGGCCTCGGTCCATGCTGGTGATGAGTTGCCCCACGCCCACCACAATGGCCACCAAGGTGTGGCGGTCATAGCTGAAGAGGGAGGGGACAGATGGGATACAGTGGCCTCTGGCCATGGTTGCATAGATCCACAGGTGCTCACACACACAGTCTCCCTCCCTATCCACAGGTGTAGATCCACAGGCTCCTCATCCCCTCTGCAAGCCTCCCTCCTCGGTGGGCCACAAGCCCTGCTTAATAGGATGGGCTGCTACAAAAGGAAGTCCTAGAGGAGGGGTGGGAGTTGTCTGCTGCTACTGTCTGCTGACCGCAAAGGGTCGGTATGTGCAGCCGCAGGGGAAGAGGAACAGTGATTCAGCACGCACACGATAAGCCAATGAAATGCTTGGTGTTTTGCGTTTATTATCCTACTTAATTCTCTTCCTTGTGAGGTGAGCATTATTGATTTCATTTTTCTTATGAAAAAAATTGAGGCTAGGGAGGCCAAGTGACTTGCCCAAGGTCACACAACTAACGTGTGGTCTGTTGAACTCCAAAGCCCATATATGGGCCGCTGTATCATCAATTCACCAAGGAAAGGAAGGGGAAGCAGAGGAGGCCGGGGATAGGTTTTCAATTTTTAAAACAATGCTCTAATGTCATTCTTTTACATCTAGCTGTCGTTTTCCCAGCACCACTTCTATTTTTTATTTTGCTTTTTCTTGGAGGGGGTGTAGGTAACTAGGTTATTTATTTTAATGGAGGTACTGGGGATTGAACCTAGGACCTCATGCATCCTTGTGCATGCTAAGCATACACTCTACTACTGACCTATATCCTCCCCGCTGGTTTTCAATTTTGAAAAGGACTATTCTAAAATTGCCATGGCTTTTATCTGTTTTTAGTTGCAGTTTTCAGAAGTTAGCAAAGGATGGGAGATTGTTATTTTGATAGAAGAGGCTGTGGGTTGTGGACGTTTTCCAAGTTCAGCACTGCGTGAACTGGGCCCAGCCCCGATCCAAGAGTCCCCAGCAGGGAGGTCATCCCCCAACTCCCGACCCCTCCCCCACACCTTGGTGACCACGGGCTCAGAGTGGTACTCCTGGCTACTTCCTATACTTTATTTTGCCCGTTGATCTGGTTGTATGTCTGATCTGCTTCCTTCACAGTGCTGTTGTGAGAACCTGACCATGGCACAAAGTTTCTACCAGTTAAACACTACCAGGGTTCTTCCCGAGTCAAGACTGCCAGGGACTGGGTAAAGTTCACTTTCATTCATCATCTTGTTTGAGTCCTCCCATCAGCCTTGGGAATTAGGGACTCAGTTTTTCAGATTTGTTTTTAACCACCTTTTTTTCAGATGAGGAAAGTAAAGCTTAAAGAGGTAAAATTCTTTGTCCATGATCACAGCCTGGATTTGAACTCAGGGTCTTGGTCTCAGGAGTTTGTGTTCTTTCCCAATATACTGCCTGGCTCCAAATCCACAGTCACTAATTTCTGTAGGCTGAGCTGTGTGTTTTGGGGAAGTGTCTAAGAGGGACCGACTTCTTGGCGTATGGTGTGAAGGCTTTTGTCTACGACCGGGACCCAAAGTTCAACTGAAGCTGGTGTGCAGCCCTGCCCTGCCTCATCCAAGAAAAGTTGACTTGCCAGAGCAGACTGAAGGCCTGGATCAGACCAGAAGCTGGTCTCTCAAATCCCAAGGCTGGCAAGATGGGCAGCAGCACAGGCCTGGTAGAGCTAAGATGGAGGGAGGTGGGGGTGCGGGGGCATCCAGAGAGGGAGGCATGAAAACTCTCTGAGAAGCCCAGGGTGGCATGTGTGACCATGTGACACATAGACAGGATCCCTACACCAGGCTATGCCCTATGCTCGTGGAACCCTCCTGCTCTTATCTTGCCCACCTGCTTTACCTCATGTGCTGCTCAAAACCCCTATCCCCTCCAAAAAATGTTCTACTTACTCCCTCTTCTCTAAAGGCAAAGGCACTGAAACCTGGGGCTGGAGCCAGAAAGGGAGTCAGGGTGGATGGAAAGGTGGAAAGTCTTGAGACCACTGTCAAATTCACACACAGCAGCCCTTCCCCCCACTATGAACTGGAAACCAACCCTCTTGTGTCTTTAAGTAAAGCACTGGTAAGTAAATAGAGCAGTTCACCTTGATTATCACGCACTTTGTGGGACATAGGAAGCTTGTGTGAAAGAAATTAGGGTCCTTTGACAGGCGAAGGCTTGCGACTGAGGGCAGGCATGTCTTTGGGG